TGCAAGTCATCGGTGTCAACAGCTCGTTAGTTCCCTAGAGAAATGAAGTCTAGAGAAGAGCATTTTGCGAAATATTAGACTATATAGCTACTCATTATATTTTTACTTTACCTGTTGATGTCTTAATTATGTTTAAATAAATCTGTTATGAAACAAGTTTAGACCGCCACTGTGTAAATTAATTCATTTCACCAAATAAATAGAAATGTTATGATTTAGAAGTTTTTTTTTTTACTTTTTATTTTTTATTATTTAATTTCATTATTTTGTTGACTGTTAACTTTTGTTTTATTTTTTATTATTTTATAATACATTTTTATTTTATTTTATAATAAATTTATATTTTATTTATTTATTTTTTATTTAATTTTTTTCACTTGGGTCTGACAGATCTCCTCCAAATTTCTTCATTGCTGTCTCTCTCACCTCACTTCATCAGTTGTTCTTCTACATATTCACCCCCCAGACTTTGGGCAACTTATGTGTCTAAAGACCAAGCCTCAGGTAGTTCAAATCACATTGGCATAGACCTCTCAGAAGACGGAGAGAACACTCTAATCCAATTCAGTGAACCAGTGTAAGGCACAGATGTCTTCACTTTTGCCAAAAACGTAATGCTAGTGGCGAGGGTTTTTACAAAAGTAGTGACACAGTTGGCCGCGGTCCACGCCTGGTGGATGGTATTGGAGATGCACCCTACAGAGATGATCATTCATGCTCTCCACACGACTGAATGCCCTCCTTAGAGCAAAAACTGTCTTATTTACCATTTACTCGGGCTGCGTTTCAACGGCATGAGCGTCTCGAGCATTCAACTTCTGTTGATTAGGTTAGCACTTCCCGTAAGAGAGCTGGCAAACACACCACTTGAGCATGAGCTCCATCAAATAGCTATTAGTATGAATCTCCCTCGAGTCTGCGAGGTTGTCGAAGGCGTTTCCCTCACAGGAAATTAACTAAGATGTAGCGGTTCAAAAGTAACCCACTTCTAACACATGGGAAGTGTGTATGTGGCCCTAATAATCAAAGCTGGGACTCCACGAGTTTATGGAGTTGTCGATTCATCACATATGCTGTTATGATTCACATTTTTGATCTTCTGTGCCGAATGCTCATATGAACTCATTTCGTTTGCCTTTGTTCTTTTAAATACGGCACACTTGAGCTGATTCATTGTTGATACGGAATATTAGCCACGGTGTGTTATAATGAGATACATCTTCAGGCAGGAGTGATTCACTCCACTGCAGATGATATTTGCAATGCATGTACTGTGAAAAGTAATGCCGAGATCAAGTCGAAACTTGTGCCTACACGCCACGCATAAATTACAGTAGGACGGTTCGTTCGTTATAGGCACGTTCCCTCTCCTGTTTGGCTTTCCACAGGCCACTTTGAATTAGCACTGTCTAATTGCAAGTCTTGAGAATGAGGTCTAACCTGTGATTAAACCAAGACTTGGCTTAATCAAAACATCTCGTCCACCCTTTAATCATTTCTTCTGTATTGTCACAGTCTTCGTACGAGGCGTTTGGATGAGAGACCGCAATCAAGTAGTTGATTGGAGATTGGTCAGTGTCCTGCATCAAGATGAAGAGGCTTACGCCACCTTTGTTCTGGATTCATATTTTACAGCAAAAAAAACAGAAGCAATGCACAGATAATTTATTTGATGGATGGTGTGTGATCCGCCTTCTGTCTGTGGCTCCGTAAAACTGTTATCAACACATTTAGTGTTATTTTTCATCATTATCATTTTCTAAATAACTCTTACTGTTTTTTTCAACTGCTTACACACAAAATCTTTACTTGTCACACAATTTCTGAAACCTGACACTCAAACACCAGAACCACACACCAAATCTGCAAAACAATCTCGGCCTTTGACTCAGTTTTCAATTTCATAAAACACTTTTTGCAAGACACAACATACAATTATCTATGCAACACACAAAAATCTAACAGGAATTAATATTATGGCAAAGGTGTTTGCAAATTTTTTGCTTTTGAGATGTGTTTGTGATATTTTGAATGCAGTGCTTCATTTTGCAAGTGATGTGAGGCATTTTGCATTTTGTGTGTGCAATTCTTGAATTTGTGTGTGAACTTTTGAAAAAAAGAGGCAAAGTTTTGAAAATGTGTGTAAGCAGTTGAAAAAAACCTGTAAATGTTACATTCATAATATATTCCTATCTTTGTTTTTTTATTGTGTTTTGTTTTGTTGTGATGTTTGTTTTGAATTTAGTTTTATTGTGCTGTGTTTTGTTGTGTTGTGTTTTGCTTTTTATTAGGTTGTGGTGTTTTTTTTGTGTTTTGCTTTTGTTTTTTTGTGTTGGTTTTTTTTTTGTGGTGTGTGTTTTTTATAGTTGTTTGCTTTAGTATTTTTTGGGGTGTTTGTTTTGTGTTCTATTGTGTTGTGTTTTGTTTTTGTTGTGTTTGTTTTGTTTTCTGTTTTATTTAGTTGTATTCTGGGGCCCGTTCTTCGTACGTCGCTTATTACATCCGAGATGAAATGTCACATCCAAGATGATATCATCGCGCTAATCAGGATCTGGCTAATTCGGTTCTTCGAACGCAGCTGTTGTTGATGATTAGTATGGCTGGATTGAGTTATCTGAGATAATAATGCGCGTTCATGGGTTGGTTTAAAAGGGGCTATGTATCGATACTCGAAACCACGATCAGCAATGCAGCGATTGGCTGGCGGCAAGACGTAATGACATCATATAATTAAAAAAGACACCTGACGAAAAACTTTACAAATTTCTGGACTTTTATAAGGACACAGCCAAGCGAACAAAACTACATAAATCTTATAATAGATAAATGAAATGTGTTTTTATTTTATTAAAATTTTTTACATGATTCCCAATTATTTATATTCACGATTTCTAATTTTTGTACAGGCTTTACATTTTTATTTCAATGTAGCAATTCATTTAATTTTATATTTGAACAGATTTGTTACGTGACATCATTATTTAAAGTTTCTTAAGGGTCAAGATAATGTTATCTGCATCTGCGCTCCATCAAGCCACTCCCATAATATCTGTCACCACTCAAATTAATGCACGACTCTACATTATCTGAATAGCATGTGTGTAAGACTCGAATACAATTATGAAGTAATAATTTTATGATGAACAAATCTTTCAGTGAGTAAAACTGGCTGTGTCTATAGTATTAAA